GTGACTTTGGAGGGGGATGAAAATGTTTTGGAGCCAGAGAGAGATACTGGTTATAAAGGTTCTGAATGCTGCCGAACCGCACGCTACGAAATGGTCCGTTTTATGGCTTTCGCCTCAACCGAAAAAAAAAAAAGGAGAAATAGACTCTCGGACAAACAATAACTAAGGGGATTTGTTGTCCCCAGAGGTGGCCTCAGAGAATGAACCGGACCAGATGCACGTATCAGGGTGGGGCGGACGACGACGCACACTCAGAGGCCACGGCCGGGCCTGACGCAAAGCTCTGCCGCGTCTGTGCCAGCCGTGTGCCCCTGGACCAGCGACTTAACCGCCCCGGCCCTGAGTTTCACCGCCCGTCAAATGGGAATAATAATAACCTCTGCGTCGCGGAGGCATGAAATTATCTGTATGCACTCAGCAAAGAGAAGTGGTCAGCGTCCTGGCTTCTGGTCCAGGTCACCGTTTGCCAACGGCGATGCATCTGTCATGATGAAATGCCCACTTTGGCCACTCCATCCAGCTCTGCCTGGTGGACACACGTCCCAGGTGTGGGCGGGTCTCTCCCTGACCTGGCCCCGCCCCCCAGTTACAGGACCTGCTGCCCAGCTCGGGGCCCCGCCCCCCAGCACCTAACAGTAGCGTCAGCCTAAGTGGAACCACACCTCAGCCCTGCACTCGTAAGTAGGAAGAGAGGGCTTCTGGGGAGGCCAGAGGTCACTTTGTCCCCATCTCGCTCATCAGCACCCAAGCTGTCGCGCCCCCGGAGAGCACGCAAGCTGCCCGGCTGACATATGTCCCCCGCTTCTGGGCCCATCCGGGACTCCTGACGGGGTGGCGTTCCCGCGCGGCTGCTGCTGGGCCCCTCTGCACCCTCGGCCCCAGGTGCTCAGACCTTCGACGGGCCAATTATGGGACATGCCGAGAAGTTACGGCTCAGGAAGGTGGGAACCGCCTCCCCCGGCCCCAGTGACTCCATGTCCCATAAGCCGTGGTGATAACTGGGGCAGCCAGCAGGACCCCGCCCCGGCCGGCCCCCACTGCCATACCCAACCTCCGATGTACATACAGCAGGTGAGCAGGACAGCGGGGACCCTTCCTCCCTTCCAGTCACATGGCCACCCCCACCGCTCACGCTCCCCGCGACGGGGTTAAAACGCGCCATCCCCACCGCCGAGCTTCGCTGGCAGTGTCCTCTCTGCCTGGACCCTGCCTGTCCCCGTCTTCACTGAGTCACCTCCTTCCCGTCTGTACAGATCTCAACTCGAATGTCTCCTCCCCACAAAGCTTCAGTATCTTCCAGATCAGGTCTCCCCCGCCCCCCGCCATTCCCGCGGTCCCCCGTCCACCCCCTTTCTATGCCTCTCAACTGCAATTAGATGAGCCTCTCTGCGGCGAGTTGCTCCGCGGCTGTGTCCCCTACTGTCTGAGAAGCCCCAAGGTGTGCCTGTCGCGGTCCCCACTGTGGCGCGGTGTCTGCCCTGGCAGGCCCTCGACAAAGATGGGGCGTGCATGAATGCTATTCCCTGGCCTTGCGGCTTTAGAACATAATAAAAATAACTTCATCGTAAGATGCAGATGCTTCTGACTTACGACGGGTTACATCCCAAGAAACCATCATTAAGCTGAAAATATCGTGACTGGAATATGCTGCAGGGTCCCGGTTATTCACCCCGACCCGGGGCGGCCGGGAGCGGCTCTGGCCGCCGCTGTCCAGCGTCCTGAGGCGGCGCCTCCGTGCACACCGCGAACACGGGGGAAGCTCCAAATCCCAAACCCGAAGCTCAGTTTCTCCCGAACGCCCATGGCTTTCGCAGCGTCGTCAGGTCGAGACCGTGAGTCAGGGATCGTCTGTCATAACTTTATAATATTCTCATAAATAATATGACGTGCCACGCGCAAGGCACTGGTTTTCACACCTTCGCTCTCTGCACGTTCCCGTCCGCCAAGTGACGGAGGACGTGTTGTCATTCCCACTTTTCAAATCAGAAAACCAAGGCTCGGGGAGCTGGCAGCACCGCGGCCCAGGTCCCAGAGCTACGGAATGGCGGCGTCGGAACTGGAGCCCAGAGCGGTGCGAACGCCCTTGCTCCTGGCCCCTGGCGCTCCCTTCGCTGCCCCGAGTGTCGATCTATATGCAGAACGTGCTCCAGCCCCCACTTCTCAGGAGCGCCCGCCGGCTGGACCAGAGCAGCCCGGCACGCGGCGGTGCCCGATGAATGCGCCTTCTTCTCCTGCTGTAAGATGTCTCCGGGGAAATCAGACTCCTCACCCAGGCCGAGTGGGAAACCCAACCAAAGGAGCCTTCGCGGACTCCCTCGGACCAGAGAGGGGACTTCGTTTCGCTTCCTGATGAGAAGGGAAGAAGAATGCGTGAGATCTGAGCGGCCCGGGAGGGTGTCCCTTACGCGATGGGGCTTTTTAAGGTCAAGAAGGAAAGGAAGCTGCTGAGCCGCGTGTACGCTGTGCGTGAGACGGTGTCCAGCACGTCGCGTGCCTGCGCACACGCAGAGGCACAGAGAGGGGATGGAAGCCTCCAGCACGCCACGGGGTCGGCACCGGGCACCTCCCGGGTGTGAGGGCTTGGGCGCTTGATGCCCAAATGGTTGGCCCCTCCTGTATACCTCATGACGCTTGGTTTCCTGCAATAAGCTAGTCATTGCTTTGGAAGTGTGAAAGGAAAGTTCAGGAAAGTGTCCTTTACGTTAGCGGTAATGGTGATGACGATGGTGGCGATGACAGTGATTTTGGGGGTGCCGTGGTCCTCTAGGGCAATCATCCTGTCTGCAGAGTATGGGATGGATTGTGCTCCACGCAGAAGGTCACCAGGACCTTCTGGACCTGGGCTGTGAAACAGAGATACAACAGAAGCGGTTCTCGTTTGACAAAAGGAACCACAGCTGTCCCATTTGTCACTGTGCAGCAGCATTTGGCACATTGGAGGCTGTGAAAGAAATATTTGCTGAATAGAACAGAGGGAGGGCAGAGAAAGAAAGAAGGAGGGAGGGAGGGAGAGAAGGAAGAGGGAGGAAGGAATTTCTAATTACACGAGAGGCTGGTTCATTCAGATCTGAAAACCCCAAAACATCAACTCAAAGATCGGTCCAAGTCCAAAACACCTATACCGGGCTGTTCAGGAAACTCAGAATATTTTGGTGAGAAAGGAAGATTCTCACGCTGCTGCCATCTCCGAAGTTAATTAAGTGTGGCAGTGACAGCCATGCTGTTCGGGCTATTTATGTAATGAAAAGGCCTGCTAAAAATAACACGCAGAGGTGCCGCTCGCGAGGCCGGGTGGCTGAGCGAGATGGAAGGGCAGAGGGGGACCGGGAGCCATGATGCCCGCATCGGCGCCGTGGTTACGACCAAACGATGCTCTTCAAGTTCGGGTTGCGGAACCGCTCCAGGCGGGAGCCTGGGAGAAGCTCCATTTATGTCACGTGGCGGTTAGCTTTGCTTCTGAGAGGGACTGGATTTCTGCATACGCCCAGATCTCAGGAGATGGCCGGAGCCGGCTGCTCTCCGCAAAACCAGGGCCAGCTCCAGAGAAGGCGTCCAGGAATCAAGCAGCCCGTGGCTCGTTTGGTATCAATGGGAACCACAGAATATCACCACTAGGAGTGAGTCTCTGAGGGTTAGCCAGGAGGCATTGTGTGCGGCCGTTCTGTTGAAGTAATGTTTGCAGGGGGAGGAGGGGGGGAGGAAGGGGCTGGAAACCACCCGAATACCCGTGATGCGGGATGACGGTATGAACCTGGGCCAGCCCAGCGCCCCCCACGGACTGCGTTAGACAGGTTCCCGAGTCCCATGCCCGCTCACCTGGAGGCGGGACCACACGTGCCGCCAAATGGGAAAAGTGAGATGCAGGGAGATGGACAGAGCAGGTCGGTTACGCGTGGTCGGCAGACTGCGCTGGCAGTGAACCTGGCCCCCTGCCGGCTCCGTGCAGCCCAAGCACGCAGACCGGCTTTTCCACGCGTCCACAGTTTAGAAATAGTTTTGAAGAGCTGGAGGAAATCTAAAGGAGATTATCTCGCGACACGTGAAAATTGGGTGGAATTCACGTTTCCGTGTCCCCCGTGACGCCTTCCTGGAGCGCGGCCCCGCTGGCTCGCGTGCGTGTCGCCTGGCAGATGCTCTTTACCCCGCGGTGCCGGGGCTGAGCGGAGACCCATGCGCGATGCCAGGCGGGGAATATCTGGCCCCTTCCTGGCTGCCTGGCCCTTTCCTGTGAAAGCTCGTGGGCCCCTGGCTTAGAGCGCGGTGACGTTTTGTAAAAGGACAGTGTCAGGCAGCGATCTCGGCACTTTGTCACAGTAAACCCGTCACATTTGCCACTTTATCCGTCCGCATTATTGTTTGTCCATCAGACTCTCAGCCCACCAGCGGGGCCGGGCTTGGGAGCTGACGCCGAACAAGCAGACGTCACCCGTTCCGAAGGAGCTCGGAGTCTGTCTGATCCTTCTTTCTGTGGTGTGAACAGTGCCAGCCCCTCCAACCACACCTCACACGATGACAGGGCAGCCCAGCCCCTGCATCCGACTCCTGCTGCCCATCCTGAGGGCCTCGGTCCCTCCCGAGGACAGGCGCCCAGACGGCCGTGCCTCCTGGCATCTCGCGGGGAGGTCGGGTCTAGAAGGAGCTCACGCTCTTGCTCCGTTTTCAAAGTGCTCAACGCCTGACCTTTGCATTTTCAGCTCCTGCCCTCCGCAGTCCCGGACGCCTGTCACGGGGATGGGCCTGGCCATCAGCTATGGAGAAGGACGCGGCCACATCTCCACATGATCCTTCCCGAATAACAGCAGGGCCACCTCCAGACACGTGGCCCAGTGCCTCGGTCTCGGTGCCAGACCTGCATCGGTCTGGGAGGAAGCCGGCTCTGCGGGGGGCGATTTGAGGGCTGGGCTTGCAGCCCCCGACTTCGCCTCTTCTCTGCTCACACCCATGCCCGACGCCTCCGAGGACTCTGCTGTATTCACGTCTGGAAAACCGGCACTGAGCCAGTCACTGTGGCCTCCTCACGTCTGGACACTGTCCTGTGGCTCCGGTGGCCGCCTGGAGCCCGGCGGCTGACACTGGGGGGCCGGAAGGGAAGCAGCCAGGGGCTGTGGGCAGGGGAAGAGCCCGGGCTCCCGCGATGGCGTCCAACGACACGGCCTCGTCCGCCTGTCTGGACTCGGCCGCCTTCAAGGTTGCCGTCAGCACGGTGCTCACGGCCCTCATCCTGGTCACCGTCGCCGGCAACGTGGTCGTCTGCCTGGCCGTCGGCCTGAACCGCCGGCTTCGCAGCCTGACCAACTGCTTCATCGTGTCCTTGGCCGTCACCGACCTGCTCCTCGGCCTCCTGGTGCTGCCCTTCTCAGCCCTCCACCAGCTGTCCTGCAGGTGGAGCTTCAGCCAGGCCTTCTGCAACATCTACACCAGCATGGACGTGATGCTGTGCACGGCCTCCATCCTCAACCTCTTCATGATCAGCCTGGACCGGTACTGCGCCGTCACGGCCCCCCTGCGCTACCCCGTGCTGGTCACCCCTGTCCGGGTCGCCGCCTCCCTGGTCTTGATCTGGGTCGTGTCCATCACCCTGTCCTTCCTGTCTATCCACCTGGGGTGGAACAGCAGGAACAAGGCCAGCGCCATCGAGGACACTGCCCCGCACTGCAAGGTCCAGGTCAACCTGGTGTACGGCCTGGTGGACGGGCTGGTCACCTTCTACCTGCCCCTGCTGGTCATGTGCGTCGCCTACTACCGCATCTTCAAGATCGCCCGGGACCAGGCCAAGAGGGTCCACCACGTCAGCTCCTGGAAGGCGGCCACCATCCGGGAACACAAAGCCACCGTGACGCTGGCCGCCGTGATGGGGGCCTTCGTCGTCTGCTGGTTCCCCTACTTCACCGCCTTTGTGTACCGCGGGCTGAAAGGGGACGACGCCGTCAACAAGACCTTCGAGGCGGTGGTGCTGTGGCTGGGCTACGCCAACTCGGCCCTGAACCCCATCCTGTACGCCACGCTGAACAGGGACTTCCGCAGCGCCTACCAGCGTCTCCTGCGCTGCTCGCCCGCCGGCCGCGAGGCCCACGGGACTTCTCTGGTGTCCAGCAGCTCTCGGGTCTCCAGGACTCAAAGCCAAGAGCCCGGGCGGCAGGAAGAGAAGCCCCTGAAGCTGCAGGTGTGCAGGGGGAGCGAGGTCGCAGCGTCCTGGGGAGCCACGGACAGGTAACAGCTCGGCCATGGGCGTGTGGGACGGGGCTCGGGGAAGGGGGTGGAGCCCGGAAAGGGTGACCGGGATGGCGGCTGCTCGCGAGGTGCTGGCACTCTTCCCGAGCGCCTTGCACACTTCGTGGTGTGCCATCGTCCCAGCTGCCCTCCGGAGGTGGAGCTTCTCGCCTCCACTTCCAAAGGACCACAGCTTGGCCAGGGCCCCACGCAGCTGGCACCTGAGTCGAGGTCCCCCGACTCCACAGCGTGTGGGCCCTTTTTCCTAGCTACATTGTCCTTACAATCAGGAGTCCTAAGTGTGAGGCCCAGCCCTGCCACTTCGTCATAAGGGTTCGCCTGCAGGACGGTCCCCCGACAGCCACGCGCCGATGCCGCCCCCGGGGCTTAACTGAGGACGCAGCTCGGTGGCTGAGCACTGTGTCGCATCAGCTCTCACACAGAGGAGCGAGGCCTGGCCGCGGCGGGGCGTGAAGGCCAGGCCAGGGGCTCAGACGCCATGTCGTAGGCCTCGGGGGAGATGTGGGGGACGAGAGGACCAGGGTGAGAGGTAGACAGCCCCGCGGGTGACAAGCCAACGCGAGGGATGAACCGGGAGACCGCACCGCAGAGCTGAGTGGCACCGAGGACACTCACGAGGTGCAGGTTTTGGGGAGCCCTGGCTGTGAGGAGTGAGTCTGCCCCTGAGAATACTGGTCTGTGTGACTGACGCACTCGTTCATTCATTCATTCATTCATTCGCAAACATTTATCGAGTTCCCACCGATGCCAGGAGCTGGGCTGAGCACCAGCGATGGCATCTGTGGCATTTCAGGGGGACGGTTATGGAATGTCCATGGCATAGCCCTGGTCCCGGCTCTGCCCTCACTCACGCTGGGGCTCGAGCCGGTCCCTGCCTCTCTCGGGCCTCAGTTTCCTCATCTGGCGGAGTGTGGGGCCTGTCCTCACGCAGCCGGCCATGCTCACCTCCCAGAGCTGCCTGCCGTGGACGTGAGTGACCGGGTGCCAGCCGGCCCTGCAGCCGCCGTGGTCACATGTTCTGGCTTGAGCACTGAGTGTCCATCTCAGGAAAAGCCCTGCTGGACACCAAAGACCCACACCCTCTGGGTTCTGGTCTCTGTGGAGCGTTATGGGGAAAAGCTGCCCCACCAGACCCCAGGTTCTTGCAGCGGCCAGGTGTGGCATGTCCCCTCGCAGACTTGGGTCCCAGTTACCCTCCACTGTTAACCTTCTGGAACAAGCCTCGTCGCTCCCACACCCAGCCTCCTCCCGGCCTGCTGGCCTCCAGACTACCTCTCGAGTCCATGCTCCATGCCACCAAGGTCTTCCCACAATGAGGCCTGGAGGCTTCGTGTCCTGCCCTGATGGTCAGACGCCTGTCCGAGTCCTTGCAGGCCCCTTGGTCAGGAAGCAGCCTCGAGTGCACCGTCCGGTCCAGCCACGCCGTCCCTTCCTGCTGCTCTCACCTGCTCACCCCCAGGTGAACAGGCTGCTTCACCCCTAAACCCTTAGGAAACCTGCGGAGAGCATTTACTGACAGCTGCCACTCGCTGCCACCGCCAACGGCCAGGGTCACCATTCCGCATTGTTTCTGCGTTAAGCATTCTGCGTAGGCATCCTAACCCCGCCCGTGTGCCAGATGCTCAGGGCGCAGTGGGAGACAGAGCAACCCCCCTGCCTCCCGCCGCCCCCAGCCGCCCGAGCTGTCTAGGACAGGGGGAGACCAGCGACGGTTCAGGGCCGAGCTTTCAGACGCGGTCACTGAGCCCCAGGGGAGGCGGTGCCCGGCCCGGGTGGGGGGTGCCGTCCCGGGGGGTAGACCTGTGAGCTGAGCCCCGAATGCCGACAGGAGACACCCGCCCCTCGGGTAGAGCTGGACCTTCACGCACGGGGCCTCGTTCCAATGTTTGCACGACCCCAGGAAGTGGGTGCTCATTTCGTCTCCATTTTACAGACGGGCAAACTGAGGCTCAGAGAGGTTAAGTAAATTGCGTGAGCGACCCCAGCCAGTGGGTCAGCCGAAGCCGAGGCCTGAGCATCGACAGGGAGAGCGGCCCCATTTATGACTGTCCCATGGGGGCCGGGCACGTGGCACGGTGGGACACACACCTGCTCCTCTGACCCTCACTGCCACCTGGGCAGGGGCTGTGAAGACGCCGAGGCCAGCGGAGAGGCCGCACCTGCCTGTGTCACACGCGGCAGCCTCGGAGCACGTCCCACACCTCGCTCCGGCCTCCACCTCGGGGAGCAGGGGTGGAGGGGGATGGGGAACCAGGCACGGGGGGTGCAGGAGGCCAGGCACGGCGGGCGGCAGATGGTCCCCTGAAGCTGCCGGGGTGATCAGGACCTCACGAGGCCTCCATCGGATCGGCCCCCGGCCTCCCCGGTGCCCGATAACGTGTCCTTCCTGCCGCACTGACCTGACCGAGAGCCCTTATCACTGCCGGGGGGGTTGTCTGCCCGACCTGAGAATTTCAAGGGGCCGGTCTGGGCCTGCCCTTGGGGTGGCCAGACACGGTCAGCCAAGGAGAGACTCCAGGAGAGAGAGTGGCCCAGCCGGCCGGCCCTCCCTTCCCTGCGGCCGTCCAGCAGCCATGTCCCCAGCAGGGTGTGCCATATGCCCCTTCCCGACCACAGCTGGCCCCCTCACCCCACCCCTCATCGCCTCTGCCTGGACAGCCTCACCTGCCTCCTCTCTGATCTCGGCCCCCAGCCTCCCCCCCATGCCACCTCCCCTGCTCCCCATCCCAAACCCCTTAACTTATCCCATCTGCAGAGTCTGTTTTGCCATATAAGGAAGCATTCTCAGGCCCTGGCAATGAGGGTGTAGCCACCTCTGGGGGCCACGTCCAGTGACCACAGGCCCCAGCCCTTAGCCTGGCACTAGAGGCCTTGCATGAT